CTTTAACTTGATTTGAGGCGTCTATGTAAAGCATGGCCAGTAATAGCGGTTTGGTTAAATCTTTATTGTAGCAAACTGTGTTTACCTATGTCAGTGTATGTGTAAAGTTAAAAACGTAATTTAAAACGTAACTTTTCTTTTTTTGTGTTTACTTAAAAATTATAAAAAATAAAAACGAGTCTGCATAGCTAATATCAGTATTTTCAAATGTTACATTTAAGCATAATATATGTTTGAAGTCCTGTTAACGTTTCTTAGAAAATTGAATTATTTAGTATTCACAGTTTGAATAACTATTGATTAAAAATACACTGACTAAATAAAATTTAATCTGGCTTGTTTAACTCTTTTACTTTGTTTTAATTTCCAACTTGCCATAATGTATCAAACGCGTGCATCTATAACTCGTTTTATGTACCTTCATAGCAATGTTTTCCGGTATGAGGGGTTACACGGCTGAAGCGCAAATTACCATTTTGGTAAAATTATATTGCATTGCAATTCACTACGTACGCAGGTATTCATTTTGTCTTCCTTTTTGTAATGCTTTTACACTTTGATTGTATTAATATTATATGATGAAATTATCCGTATAAAAACCAGATAAATGTCAGCTGTCTTCCATTGATATCTTTGTAACCTATATCTAGCAATTATGTCTCATAATCAATATTTGCTATATTGTTTGCTGATCTAGAAATTTGCATAATATCTAGACATTTTGTATGAAATAATAATACATCATAAATGTCAGCAAAGCCGAAAATTTGTGAATTGAAATGTTTTGTGTTTTTTTTTGCAATCAATCAAATTAACAATATATATTCGGTTTGAATAGTATATGGAAAATTGACACAAATGTAACTTTATTTTATACACTTTTGTCGTTTTTGGATCATTTCACATTTCTTAATATAATTAAGTACGAAAATGTATCAACATAAACATGCAATGTGAAATATATACAGTAAAGAATAATCTAAGTAAGTTAGTTTTTGTTTTGTATTGCATGGTTAAGTTTTGAACAACATGAAGGGCAGATAACCCCGAAATTAGCACGCAAATGCCCATTTTGATTTGGATAAAATGTGTCTGTTATTATATATTCTAAAATCATACAAAGTACAAATAAAATCTAAGAAAGAGTTTACATTTACCCTTTTTGTATGAATGAAAACTGTAGCGGTCGCCTTTAATATCACGTGATGAAGCATAATGAAAAGCAAAATATCCATTTGTGTGTGGGTTATTAGGTTTGGGTTTTTGTTTGTGATGTTAAAATACCTTAATATATACTCGTACATTTATTTAGAAATTTGTGTTTCCCCATTTTTCTTTCAGCTATTGTGCCCTTTTCCATTTCTAGTTCGGTGCTCTACTAAATATGGTTAAATTTGTAACGGACTTTGAAGATAAAAACAAAGAATTTATGTGTAAATATTCCCATTCCACGTACATGTTTAACGTCAAATAAGAACGGTTTACTAACGAAACTCCTTGCGTCCCTCTACACCTTTTAAAATCCTTAATTTGTTTCGCTTTTTAAAACGAGTCTTCTAAGGCAACTAATGGAACACATTTGCGTGATAAATCATAATTATTTCTGATATTAGATTAGTAATTGGATAGCAAAAAAAAACATATTATGTCCAGTCCATTATAGCGCAATGTCATTTTGCCAAATGCAGATGTCATTTAATCCGAATTTTAAATCTTCGTGCTTTCATGATACCCTGGCGATTTTCTTTTCTAATCGAACTAAAACTTTTGGCATTTACTCATATGTGAAACAATCGAGCTATTATGATTGCTTGGCCGCCGCCGTAATTGTCGTTATGGCCATTATTGTAGTTTATGAGTCAAACGTATTTAAAGGTAAATTTGTCTAAACGAAAAATAAAATTCTTGATTGATTGTCATTCAAGAACTAATTGTAGGAAAAAGTTATTTTAAGGCTATTTGTAAAGAGATATCTCCCTTTTTAAATAATATGTTTACCAAAATTGTTTTTTAGCTTAGTAGACAGCTTTCAAATAAATAAAAGTTACCAACATGAAAATGTAAACTAGGAAAATCAAGATCAACAAGGAAGGGCGACATTCAATGAACGAATCCTCCAACACAGGACCATCGGCAAGGAGTCCAGCAGGACACCAAACAGGACAAGGCACACGGGCAAATTACGGACAGGATGCCATTATAAACCATTCAAAATGGGAAATCATATTAACCCCCAAGGTAATTTAAGATGAAAATTAGTTATTTAAGAGCGCTACAAAAAGATAATTATGAGAACTACAGAAGGATAATTTGGTCAGGGGAGGAGTACACTTGCTAATCATGACTAGTTGCAGTTGTTATACAATTGGTTTTATTCTTGAAGCTTTATTTCTAAAGTAATGTCCGTTTTTAAACTTTTAAAATTGTCGAAATTGCTAATAAATAAAAGTGGTTCGACTATTGTAACAGTCATATCACTGTAACATTCTTGAGATCAATATTTATTTTACTGTCTACACTGCATTTATAAGAAAGTTAATATGTTCTTATGTGCGTCATAATTTGTTTCGCGAATCAAATGTTATCTTCGATGTCCTAAAATGACTTCACAAACATGCTATATTGACTATTTTCTTGGAACCTCTTACTTCTTTACTTGTCAGTGTTTACTATTGTTAACTCAAACGACTGCTATATAAATAAGCAAGTTTCATTCAGGAAACAAGTTTTGAAGTTTTATACATGTAATAGAAAGCACATCGAAACACGAGGCCATCTTTTCCAAAACTATATGTGCAATTCCATCAAAACTTTACAGGAATGATCAGTATCAAGCTCAGCTGTGCATACCGTCAGCATATTGCAATTTGATAATTTTTGTTGAGAAATGGTCCTCTATTTATTTTTATTTTTTAAGTTGTGTCCATATAATTTATCTTATACTACTTATGCAACTGAAGAGAAACTTTACAAGATTGGTAGCTTACTTAGGTACGTGTGAATTATATATTGTTTCCGTTTAATGATTTTTGGCTGAGTTACAGTCCTTGACTTCAAAAGCGTCTTGGCATGTGAGTGACAATTATCACCTCTAAATACAAGTCATCAGACAACATCTGATTACTTATCGCTCTTGTATATACCTTTCCATCAGTAAAATTACTTTTGCGAAAGAAATAATTTTATATACAGCGCAGAATTAATTCTTCTAATTATTTTAAAACTGACAAATATTGACATTACTAACGAAAGTTATTAATTACAATAATACGTATTGCCGACTCATATAATTGTTGTACAAATATATATTTAAATAGATAAAATTTAATCACCATGTGGTATTTGCCAATTCGTAAGAATTGTCATGATATACGGGCGATACCTTATTGCTTTTTATCAAAGTCAATGACATTGAACCGATTTTCCCTGCATTACTGGGAGCCCAAATAACTTGAATAAATTCTAATGAGAACTATTTACAGTTTAATATTGAAACATCCACTTTGAATACGCACAATAATATGAATGTTTGTAAAGTAATAATCGGATATCAGAACTGAATTTGCAAGAGATAGCAATCATACTTATTTGCACATGCTGAAAACAATTAATATTTACTGATAAATTAGTCGATTGATTATTTTACCGGTGCATTCGTTATTACCCTATCCAAACTCTGTCTCCTCACTGAAAATGAATACTCTATAGAAAGGAGATATTACATTAGCCATCCTTATCGCAAGGTCAAAAAAGAAAAAAAGTATATAATAAACAGAAAATTTAGTTATTTTTTATAAATACAGGTTTTATTATCATTTATTATTTATTAATGTAATATTATTATTTTCATCATTATTATCATTATTACTATAATTATTATTATTATTATTATTATTATTATTATTATTATTATTGTTATTATTATTATTATTATTATTATTTCATGCATGTTCCGAAATCATTCTCAAAATATGTTTTGTAACGATTCAACAAAATAAAAAATGTATGTAACTGATTTTAAAATTCCTATGAATAAAATGTAATGAATTTGTTGAACCAATCTATATTGTACATGCTGTGCGACAATGTTTTGTCAAAACTGGTTGCAAGCTTATTTAATTTTAACTGTTCCAAGCTGAAAAAATAAGGATTGGCAGATGAAAAATACACTTTTAACGGCTGTGGTTGGCTGTCGTTTCTTGCTAGTTTCATGCAGTTAATTAACATTGACAGGTCTGAGAGAAAGTTTCGATCGTTTATAACGAAAATGTAAAATAAAATAGTGTGAATTACAATTTTCTACATATGTTAAGCTGCTTATTCAAGTTTGTGTCCAAGGACTGGGGTATAAGAATTGCAGCCACCGTTCATCCCTGCGTTATCGTAAGAGGCAACTGAATGAGTTCTATTAACTTGAGTTATTGCATCTCTTAGCTCCAACAGTTGAGATGGTTTTGACCCCTGGTGTTGCTTTAAGTTATTACATCCGGGGTTAGCCTAATCGGGCGCCATTTCACCTTAATTGCTTTGATGAGCTGTAGAACAAAAGAACAAAAAAACTACAACAAAGGCTGAGGAAGTACTTCTATGACGTAGAATAAGCATTTAACTGTTTGTTGTGAAATGTTATAAATCGAAATAATTATTCCACCATATTAAAAAAAAGGAATAGATATTCACATTTTGATATAAATCAGTACTTTAATCCAGACAGTTTTCACACATTATTATAAGAAAATTATTATATTATTTTTATATGAAAATAAAGAAACGTTAGCTCGGCACACTATAATTATTTTTTTCCATCAGCGTAAAGGATAACTCTATAACTGACAATTTTGGATGATGCATGGTTAGAACAATGTTTCCTTTGCCTTTCTATTGATTATAATTCCAGATTGCTGGAGCAAGAGATTAAGAGTATAAAATTTCTGTTGAAATAGTAACAAACGTATCGGAAAATAGAACCGGTGACATTTTTGTTCAGTGTATGTATCTGTAAATACCATTTCCATCATCTGAAAAGCAATTCCTGTCTGGATTTATCAAAGGTATGATCTGATCATACTTTGACACGTCTGACTGAGAAGGGAAAGTTATTTTATTAAACGGTAATTGCAGAAATGTGTTCAGAAAAAAATCAAGGCTTTTTTAATACTTTAAAATGCAAATTTGATAAATGCAGCATGTCGAAATCGAAGAGTGTGGAAGATGTATTAAATTTAAAGTCAGTAAAAACAGTGGCTGATTATATTCATGACAATGAATTGCGTTTGAAAAGTTGCCGCGTGCCAACACAAAATATGCGGTCTAAATCTTGCTCGTCTACATCTTCTACATCGGAAAATTTGGCGTACGTGTTTGAAAAAGTAAAACATAAAACAATACCACAATTTGTGAGTTTTGAAGCAAAAGTGCCTTGTGAAAAATATGAAAAAGATAAATATGCTTTGAATTATATGTTGGATAATTTTCAAAGCGAAATTCGACCAAGAACATTTAGTATGCCAACACAAAATACATACACAAAACCAGTAAGACGGGATAGTCAGCGCTTACACTTAAATATCGAAAAACATTTGAATGCAGATATCAATACAAAAAAGCCTACTTTAAATCAATGCCGGAATGTACCGGGTGCATTTGATTCATTCTTCGAAGAGGAAATCAGAACCAGAACCTCAAGCATGCCAACGACATCTTCCTTCGATAAACCTCGAGTTCAGCATCTACGTTACTCACACCAAAACCTTTATGCCAGACCGGCATTAGAAATACACACAGTGCGCTTTTTTGAACTGAACAATAAAGGTAAGATCGTAAAACGATCAGAATCTAGAAGTACACGAAGCTCCACTAGTGAGCTTTCAGTAGATGATTTCATATTAGAATCAGAAAACGCTAATAAAATGACCAACATAGATAAAGAAGGATATAATATATATGTAAGAGGCATTGAAGGAGTTGGCAAAACAGCATTAATGCAACAATTCTTGACAACACAGTACCTTGGTGGATTTGACACAAGCCATGGTAAGAAGTTAAGTCTATAATTGTTGTGATGGTCCTTTAAACGTGGGCTTTTTATTTTTGCATAAGTTTCAAAAAATTGTTAATTGTAGTAAACTCCTTTATTTATTTTATTTGAATAAAACAATTAGTTTTATACAGCCAGAATTATCAATTCTCAAAATGTAACAATAAGACCTACAGTTAACTTATCTTTAGTAAACTTAAGTTCATTGAAATATTTGCTCCATCTTTAAGATTTACAATATTTGAGATGCATGCCTAAAATATACTTGCGCTAAGTGCATTTTAGTCCTTTTAATTTGACATATATTTGTTTACTTATAGTATATAGAGCATAAAGTGTAGCACAACTTCTCTGTGAGTTTTTAAAAGATTTATTTTTTTTTTCATTTCAAAGACTGTATAGCAATAATCAGAATTTTCAAAGATCAGATTTATGCACAATATATCTTTAAACATCCTGTTATTTTATTTTTTAGATATTATATTAAAATTCAATTCAACAGATATTTTATACACGCCTTAAGAAAAACCTTATCGAAACATTCTTCGGAAAATGTCATACAAATAACCTGACAGTTTAACTTAATTCTAGTACCGCAACTTTTCCAAGTCATTAAATTATTTGATCGGCAGTCTTTGAAGATTTACGCAAAGGTATATTGAGAATCGTCACTAAAACCTAAAAATAGTGACCTTATGCGCTTATGCATTATCCTAATCTAAATTATTAAATCTTTGCATGAATTTAATTATTTTATGAAATTAAAGTGAAATTATGCCAATCTAAGTGTAAATGGTCATTGAACAGGTACAAATTATAATAGCTTGCCATTTTGTCATACTTGTGTTCAATTTTTTATTTTACTCTGACATTTATGATTAGAAATTTCTAAAAATATCTTTCAGAATGTACCAGTAATGTTCAATTCTTATAAAGAGTGGAGCAGTCTTTTTATAATTTAGGTTGTTTTTTATACTTTTTTTGACAAATATTTTTCTTTATTAATATTTGGTCAGTCACTATTATAATAATTTTAAAATATTTGACTAATTCATTCAACTTGAAAGCGGATAAATAGAGAATAACATGCTACTGTCTTTTGATATCAATTTTATCAGGTGAGGCTGATATGGGCTAGAAAGGGGGAGGATTATTTCTTAAGCTTTAGAAAGGACAAACATAATTGTTTCATAGTTTAAAAAATAATTTTAGAGCATATACGATGATTTTTACCCGATGAAAGTACGAGTAGCGCTCAATGTGAAAGTATTTTTCAATTTTTCATTTCAGTAGCATGTAGACGATGTAGTTGTTTGACTTTTATACAAAGTACTAAATTACTTTAACCTTACTGAATGCCTAAACGCAAAAGAAAAAATGATGGATCAAGTTATTGGTAGCTGAAAACTTTTGTGTGTTTTCTAGGGAATAATTGGTTTTTAATTTTCAATTTTTGTTTTCATGGATTGCTTAACATTTACTAAAACTGAAATTCTGTTACTTCTGATTCTTTTGTTTCTTTTGTAAGACGCATATTTCTCGGTCTGTAAAAATGTTTGAAATACTCGTATTATTACAAAATAAGAGAAAATATAGAAAATGTAAGGTATATTAAAAACGTCCGATTTATTTGATATTGCCAATTAAACGGCCATATGATTTTTTTCTGCAAATACAAGGTAAAATAGCGGAAAGCTGACGGTATATTAAAAGTAAAATGATCATATTTCATATTTCAGTAACAAAGGTATTGTGAGAGATTATTTTACATTTGTGTATTGTCATTAAAATAAATAGCACTGTTTAAACATTTGGCCCAATCATACAATATAGAAAATGTTTCACAGCGTCGCAGAAAAAGAATCGTACACTTAGTGTTATAACAGAACAGAAAATACTGGTAAAGTGTTAATATAAGAAAACACTTTTAAGGGCTTCCCAAAGTTTATAAGCTGACTTCAAAGCTACATTCCAGACAAGATATATTTTAACTAAATAATATAGAATGTCGTCATTGCATTATACTATATAATATAAACCTGTTAGCTGTTTAAATCAGTATAACAATTGAACTATTTTAAAAATGTAAGAAAAAAGCGTAATATTATACCGAAACCAGCACAATTTGAAAGATATTTATACCTGGTTTGCATACTACTTAAATGTAATAAAACCTGTTAGGTTGTTTAAATCAGCATAACACTAACACTGATTTTAAAAGTATGAAATAAGCTTGTGAAAAAAAAGCAAACTTTGAAAGATATTATACCAAGCAATTGTTGCTTGAATTTTAATTTGATTTTCTCGGATAAGAGTGATATGCAGACTAAATATCATCTGATCCACTCTGGAAATTCCATTTCATTTCATTTCCACCTATTGATTTCCAGTTAAGAGTACACGCGTTATTTTATTTGAAGATCATACACAATCGGTCAACATATTCGCCATCCCATGGACAAGAGTTTTCCTTATATAGAAAGAGTAAAAATGTCCTGAACCGCTTTAATAGATCGCATGAAACATTGCGTAATGTATCGAAACTAAATTATGATCAAATTATAGCCTTCGGGTTAAAACGTTGACTTCCATAAAATAGATTCGAAAAAAAAACATTGAAATCCTCTGATAGAAAACTGCAAGCAAAAACCTTAGACAATTTGCATAACTCATTACTTAGTGAAATTAAGCAAAAAACACCTAATCATGTCGCCTTTTTGGTTAAAATCTGCCTCGCCCTCGGGGTCACATACTTTGATATAGATTTTCACAGTTACTCTTTCATAGAGCATACATTGTTGCCAAGTAGCATCATTCTGTAGTCTTATATTGACGTTATTAACGTAATTCCCTTTGAATCAAAAAATGACTCTCAATGTATATGTACACTTACACAGGAAATACATAAAGTTTTTCTTATAGGAATTTATAATGTCCATACTCAGATTTTTAAAGAAGCATTGCTTTTTAGTCCTATACAAAAGTGGCGTAAATTATGCTTCTGTGGTACAATACCCAGAGATTTAGTTTTTGGCATGTAGTATTTCTATGGTTTTACGTTTAATTATATATAGCTTACATAGCTGGTGTTTAGCACTTTTATATTATTTAACTACTTTTATAATTCTGTACATTGGGTCAAATTTGCCTTGACCTGAGAGTCTTGATATTTAACATAGTTTTTATATTGGAAATGAAACCCAAATGCCTATATAGAGATAACATGTTTAGTGTTTAATACTGTACGGTGGACCAGACACATGCTTGTTGGCACAATAGGGTTACAATTAGCCCCAACTCCGGCGTGACCATTATATTGAAGATTTAAGAGTTTTGTTTTCATTGTAAAGTTGATTTCAATCATTTTGTGCAACTCATGATCTGGACCTGTGCTGCCTTTGCGGATGCAATAACTTACTCTTTGTTAGCAACCAGTGACTGTCAAAGCAACATTTGATTTCATTAGCAACTGGTGATTTTACTAAAACTAATTATTTTCTGTACCAAGCAGCAACGTTTTCGCTTGTTATTTATTTGATAAGATAACCTAGATGTTGACAAATTCTGGCGGAGATTTGAAACATGACGTTATTGACTTGGATGTCATAAACGTGTTTTTCATTAGCAATTATCAATATCTTTGAGCTTCCGTTATGTATAGCATTTTAGTTAGGTCAGCGACCTATCTCTTCTTCTCTATGACACAGAAAGAACAAAAATATGAAACAAATAGTGGGGAAACTGTTGACAATTTTGACTGAGACTTGAACTATTACATCTTTTGACTTTGATGTAGCCATATACGTGATTTTCATTCGCAATTATCAATATATTTGATCTTCCGTCATGTCAGGCATTTTAGTTAGGGCAGCGACATGCCTCAACCTCCATTGGACACAGAAAAAATATAGAAATAAAATAGAAGGAAAACAAATTTTACTTACTTCGCAAAGATGAATTAATGAAGCCTTTTTAATTACTTAACTACGGTTGGAGAATATGTATCAACTTAATTGATAATTGATTTGATGCATCAAGCACGTTTGCTTCTCCTGTTAAAATATTTATTTAGATTATATAACATTGACAGTTAAGTCATGCAAACACTGAATAAGATCGTTTGCACTTAAGCAATGCCCCTTCTGTATGCATTTTAATTTGTTTAGACTTTAAAGTCGGACAGTTCAGAACAATGCAATTCATGTTAACAAATGACAGATTACAAAGTCCTTACAGAAGTATAAGCAGCTAAATGGTTAAAACATTAAATGGGATTCATTGGAATAGTACTAAATTATTTTACATTGATAAATATTTTTGTCTTTATCTATTAAAGTTTTCTAGCATGGGAATCTTGATTTTACTGAAAAACATCATAATTATATACTTACTTTACAATCTTCTTACACGTTTTCGTTCTTTCGCTTTGTCTGGTTATTTATATTTAGTAAAAATAGTTGCGGTTTTTGTTGGCGCCTGTTGGGGTATATTCCTGAACTAAATCTTATTAATTAAAATGTCATTGTGAATGACCATTTTTGAAAAATTTAAAATTACTTTTTATCCATAAAATTGTGTTTCTTTATTTAGAGGTGGTGTCCTTGGCCGCGTTGTTACGGTCGGCGATAACAAAGTCCTAGCCCCTCGCCACTGTGGGTTTGAGTCCAACAAAACACATTTATATTGTAAATGTAATATTCACGTGGCAAGTTATTATAGACAAGTGCGCCTTGTATTGCTTACAATATGATACGTTTTCAGGATGAACATGCAAAAATTGAGACACTTACTGAAGACGTGAACCATACTTCCTAAAAAAAAACATGAAATTGTATCAGATTTCGCATGCTTCACCATTCAACTTTTATACTTATATCTCAGATAAAATGTCTACAAACATAATGAAATAAAGTGCAACTTAAAGAAACTTAATATCTTAAAATATAAATTCAAGTCATTATCCTTTTTTATATCAGTTCTGTCCTTTAAGTAGCCAAATTATTTCTCCAATTAACG